AGAAGTAGCTCACCGATCATCATTTGGTGAAAAATATTGTCGATCTCCGACCTTAACACGCACCTCGCCCGATTGCATTGCGAGGATCGTTAGTGCGGGGTTTTCCAAATACATCGATGACCAAAGTGCGACACCACGTAACTCCAATTTAATATAACAGCATTTCCACTCCTTGTTTATTTTTTACATGAATAACTAGCCAACTTTTTTGCTTGAAATTAACATTGAATATTTCGCTGATAGCGAAGAGAAATTCAGGAAGTTTTCAAGAAAATACGTAGACTAGTTTTTCCAAGAAAAAATGAAGTATGACAGGAAGTCTGCAACGTTGCAATCGGAGAAACGTGGTCTCGCACTTGGGTCATCGAAATTGTCTCTGCAAAACTACTTTCATGCGGTTGCATCTAACGACGTAAGCCGAAAATAGACTTAATATGCCGTGTAGATTAATGATAACGCCTTGATGCAACTATTCGTGCTCTATAGTTGTCCGTGTTGCGTGTCGCGACTTGAAGGCGTTCTCAGTTTAACCGGCCTCTGCTTTGAATCATGACGCACAAAAGGCCGCGCGGCTGATTTTGAAAATTAATAGACCCCCCCCCCCCGTTAGTTTTTGTAGATCTTCGAAAAGCCCATGGTGACGTCTCGTTGCTGAAACTCTGGGAAGCCTTGGAAAAATCAGGTTTTAGCAGGAGACTTATCGTCGCGATTAAGCGGTTTAATACTGGCGCTTTCGCTAACATTCGGTGTCAATGGAGATTTTTCGAGGTTTTTAATGTAAACGAAGAATTAGTACCCTCTCGCGATCGATAATTTCTTCCGCAAGAGCCAATTAATACGGCCATCGTTGCGACTTGATTGGTGTTTTTTTCTCGGCGGATTCGATCAATATTGTCCTTCTTGCGCACCTCACTATCACAATACTGCCGCTCTCAGGATAAACGCCGTATATGCCCTCAGATGTTGCCAAATTTTGTTTGATGAAACACAAATTTCCTGGGAAACCCGTGCATTTTCCTCCCCTAATTTTTCAGAGAGGTTAACCCGCAGTTAGATCCGCAGACCTATAGAAATTTCAAGGAGACATATTCTTAACACTGGAAAAAAAGCACATTGGATCTGCAGTCCAGACTCTTAAAAACATCAACAAGAAAAAATACTATTAATTCAGTCGGATTTTTGCTTAAATCAAGAACCAAGTCTCTTAATTTGAGCGGATTTTCTTTTGATTTAAGCAAAAATCTGTTTGAATCAAGAGTATTTTTTCTTGTCAATGTTTTCAAGAGTCTGGACTCTAGATCCAATGTGTTTTTTTTCCAGTGTTCTTGAAAATTGAATGTTTTATCGAGAGAAATTTGGCGACTTTCGGAAGTTCATACAGCGTTTTTCCCGAACACACGACGGCGGAAAACTGGACCACGACGAAAATGATTAAAAAGCTCGCGGACACTCCGGAAACCTAAATGATAAAACCTGACACGTCCATTTGCGACGAGCCCTAACGCGTAATTGTTCTTACGGAGTGTAGGGGTCATCGAAGGACGGACTTGTCAGATTGTAGCGACGACCGTGCGAACAATAGCTCGTGGCTCGTGGAGCGTTTAACGTGCGCGCCGGGCATTTTATTAGTCTCATTTTACGAGGCGGCCCGCCATAAAATTAGGGAGAAAATTGAACGAACACACATAAAATCATCTCGGCGCGCGCGCGCTGAACAGAGCCGCTGACTTCCGCGGCTGATCAAAGGAAATACTTCCGGGGTCCCCACGTCGAGGAAAATCTGGGAAATTGGTCGCTCCTCTCGACGCGTGACCAATATTTTGGGCGCTCGTTATTGATTGGACCATACAGGGTGATCCAAGGTTAAGCGGCCAAACTGCAGGATCGTGTTCTATGGGTCAAAATGACACTTTTTTGTCGAATAATAATAAAATGCGAGGTGATTCGAGATTTTGAACCACTGTGATGTAGATTTGAATTTTTTGCAATTTTCAATGGCATAAGTCAATTTCGGATCTTGGATCCCGGAGGACACGAATCTTTGTTGCAGCTTTTTTAAAAACATTCAGTTTCCGAAATTTCAAATTATCATTTTCTCCAAGAAAGGAAAAAATGACGAAAATTTGCAAAATCATGCCACAAAGGTAGTATTCAATTTGTAAAAAATACCAAAAATGCATCGTTGCGAGTGAGTAACACCGTGCCAAAGAGGGCTAACTCTGGATAAATGATGGAAATAAAGATCACGGTACAATTCGAAAAGCAGATGATTCGAGTCGATCAGCCGACAACGATCTGGACCGCGTTTGCCTTATTTTACGATGATATTCGCATTCTGCGCATACTTTTCATTTGGAATCTGCTTTTTCAGGGAAATCTGGCAAGCGTGGTCCAAAACAGGAAGCCCAGACTGGAAGGAGATCCATAAAACCGATGAGCGGTTGTATAGGCACCTTGTCCGGCGATTATTTTCGGGGGCCAAGGCCGCGCAGCGCTAGCTCCCGAGCCTGACTTAAGCTTGTCTAAAATCTGCTGCGCTAAGTCAGAACGTCGTATGAACATTCGGACGTCTTCAAATATCTCCTATGAAGCACTTTTTTTAGCAAATCTGACAGATTTTTTCGTTAAAGTTTTCCGAGCGTCTGATTTTCAATTTTCTAGCACCCCTATCTAAAAATACCGAGGAAACAAATTCACAATTTTTTCCAAAATTAAATATTCCGTCTAGGAAGATTTGGAAACGCACAATAATTATTTGTGCGGATTTAGCATGGTAGCGATCAATAAGCCCTCGCATTTCGACCGGGAAGTGAATTTCGCCGATTGTGATTCAGACGTTGTCAAGTTTCCTCCGATAAAAACAGAATTTACTGGGAAAATTGCAAATATTATTTTTCAAAATTTTCAGACAATTTTGTGGGCAATTCAATCTAATATATCTGAAGATTTCAAGGCAAAATATGCATACATGTTGTCCAAAATACATGTTTTATCGAGAGAAATTTGGCATCGCTCGAATGTTCATACGGCGTTCTTCCTCAGCACGGCAGTGAAGGTATACCTTAGCTCAGATGAGCCCGAGCTCTTTGACGGAGAGAGGCATCTCGCCGGTCGTCGTTTGAGGGCTCACGGTCTTAGCCATTGCACCGTGAGAGGCGATAGAAAGTACACCTACCAACAACGGTCGCAGGGAAGTCCGAAAATGCAGGTCACTCGACCAGCAATTCTAAATAAACCGAAACACGACTTGTCTGCTCCTGATTTGTTTGTGGAAGCCAGTCAGCCGGATTATGTTATGCATTGAAATCTCCCACTAGGACTCGCATACGTACAATGTCGAAGTTACTTTTTTGTTGCTGGTTGAATGGCCTCTGTTCCGTAGACTGATTTAGTGGCTAAGTCACTTATTCGATATATGGATGTTCGACGATCGTCAATGTAATCGGAAACATAACCTCAAACCCAACTTTTAGCTTGCGTATTAAAAACCCGTGTCCCACGATCAAATGAACTCATCAAACGCTCATCAAATGAAAGATGGCGGATGGTTTTCCCGCAAGTCCGCTATCTAAAGTTGATGGGCCAAATGTTGATGAACCCGCCATCTTGCATTTGATGAGTATTTGATGAGTTCATTCGATCGTGAGACGCGGGTTTACCGTGACGGTTTAATTATTGCAAGCCTAAATGTCATCAGTAAATTTTCTAACAAATTCAACCAACAATTTCTCTGTAAAAAAGCAAAATGGCGGCGAAAATTTCGAAACGTCGCTTGGCGCTTGTGATACTTTGGCCAGAAGGTGACGACACATCGAGAAAGAAAAAGAGTCTTGAAGATTGATTCTTCTGTGGGACTCCATGCCCTAAAGGTAGTATGAATTGATTCAATGAAGAATATGGAGTCCCCGAAATACTTTATTTCCCATAACTCTAGAAGAGATATATTGCAGCGGTTTCAATTCAAAGGCGAGACCAAATTTCTTTAAAGCAGTATACATCAGCAAACACTGTACTTACGTCCAAAGTACACTGTAGAGTCATTCGTTTTCGCACGTAAAGTTTGGACTTAAATTTTGAGATGATCCGGGACATTTTACCCGACTTGATCGTCGTCGTAAGTACTTTTTCAAGCGAGAAGAATATCTAACTTTTTTCTTGCTAAGAGCAAATACATTATTTAAACGCAAAATGTACCCGACAGGCTCAATTTATTGTCCTCCACAGTTTTGTCGCTGTCAGGGAAAAAAAGCGATTAAGAAATTACAAATAGGCATTAGGCTAAACAGCAAAGGCGGACGGAACTGTTTCGCACACTGTTTCATTCACATGGTGATTTTGCAACTTACCGTTGAAGCTGTTATACTTAGCAGAGAAATCCTCTTTTTTTGTCTCTGTTACCAGCCCGTGGTGTGAAATTCGTCGTCTCCTAAGACGAAAAAACGTAACTCAATTGACTGCAAAATTTACTCAAACGGGTCAATTTTTTTGTAAAAGTATGGATGTGCAGTTTCTACCCAAAATTTTGCTGATTTTAGTATACAATCAGAACAAAAGCAGTGGAATTTTCAGTCAGGAATGCTCGATATATATAGTATCCCGGGCAAAATACAATACACCAGTGAAAATTTCGCATCGTTAGAATAGACGTATTTTGTTTGCCGCAACAATTGTTTCCTGCTACCGATTTTGTGTTATTTGCGTCTCTTTTTCACAACCAATGAGAGCAAAGCAGCTAGAAGTGAGGTTAGAAACCTCGTAACAATTCTGCAACCTGCTCCGGAGCACGTTCCAAGTGTTTCGCATCAAAATGTTACGACAGCGTTGCCATGTTGTGCAAAAAAAATCCAATTAAATAAGCCACGCCCCCTCATTTCCGGTAACACTCAAACAAAATACGAATGTTACACACTGATGCGAAACAGTTTCGATTGTTACGCCAAACAAAATACGTCTAACGTAGCTACATTCTATCGTCTTGATTCATTGATTCTCCATAATACCTCTCCTCTGGTGTGCAGCGTATTGCGTTGATTCAATTTGAAGGCGAGTCAGCTGTGCCATGATGAGTATCATTCCAAATCATCCATCCGCTTATTCGATAAACGGAAAGGCTGCAAATACAAACGATAAATCACAAAAATTGAATTAAATACTGGGACGTTTCGAAATGTATTAATTTAATATTCAACCAAAAAATTAAACAGGAAAAAAGCAAATAATTAGACAAACAATTTAAAAAAGAAGAAGAAAATGGGATTGTCGATCCGCTGTCTTGTGAGACTTGAGACTGACAAGTAAACAACCCGGCTTGGTGCAGTGGAAATAAAGAAATTATGAAAATAAAGTATGGTAAGTCGAGATTATTTGGTAATGCACATAACTTGGGGACGGTTCGATTATCACCCCCAGCCCCTCTAAAATTGTTTGATATTTAGTTTGAATAAATACTGTGTCATCGGGGGAAATTTGGCAACATTTGAATGTTCATACGGCGTTTCGCCTTGGGAACGGAAGTGCAGTTACTGCACACCCAAGCAAGTTGTGAAGGAGAACGGACGTGGAAAAAGTTTCATTTATTCCGGGAGGCTTCGTCAAGATGATAAAATGAAAGTTGGTGACCCGAGAGAGTCAGGAGCCACGAAGAAAGTATAATAGAAAAATATAATTTCCCCGACCCGGCCCAACCCTTTCTCCGCCGTTTTGTCGTTTCTTGGACAGTTTTCATGAATATGCAACACCCTCAGGACAGGGAGAAAGCCTCATCAATCACAGCTTTTCCGCCACCTCTGAGCGGCCGGGAGCATCTTGACTTAAACTGTGACACATCGGGAGGCTCTTTTTTTTTTTTTTTTTTTTTTTTTAAGAGACTTTGAAAACAATGTCATTAACTAAGAATATAATGGAATATTTCACAATGAGGTATACGCATTAAATTGCCTGGGGCAACTAATGGCACACACGTTGTTTGTGGAATGAGTCAAAAATTGTAATTCCCTGATGCGAATATTAGTCCAATTGAAGGGCTTGGAAGACAACTTTTTTTTCTTTTTTCTTTTTTTCTCTTTTTTCTAGAGACTGTAAAAACAATTTCAATAATTGACAATATAATGGATCATTAGACAATAAGATATACGCATTAAATTTCCTAGGGCAACGAATGGCGCATACGTTGTTTGTGGAATGAGTCAAAAATTGTAATTCCCTGATGCGAATATTAGTCCAATTGAAGGGCTTGGAAGACAACTTTTTTTTCTTTTTTCTTTTTTTCTCTTTTTTCTAGAGACTGTAAAAGCAATTTCATTAATTGATAATATATTGGATCATTAGACAATAAGATATACGCATCAAACCTAGGGCAACTAATGGCGTATACGTTGTTTGTGGAATGAGTCAAAAATTGTAATTCCCTGATGCGAATATCAGCCCATTTAAAGTGCTTGGAGGACAACTTTTTTTCCTTTTTTCTTTTTTTTCTAGAGACTGTAAAAGCAATTTCATTAATTGATAATATATTGGATCATTAGACAATAAGATATACGCATCAAACCTAGGGCAACTAATGGCGTATACGTTGTTTGTGATCTACTTAACAAATTGTAATTCCCTGTCGCGAAATTTAGTCCAATTAAGGGGCTTGGAGGACAAGGCGCATGAGTGCAGTTTTTGAAAAATTTAGGATATTAATGATTTCAAGTAAAACTAGTCTTAATGTATATTCTGTGGTAAAATCGCTCCCAAATTACAATTTTTAAGCATCAAACAGTCATTTTGAACTTTCTTTCCGCCAAGGAGCCGTGTAGTTTTGGAACTTTAAACACGTATTTCTGGAAACAGCAAAAACTGCACTTATGCGCCTTGTCCTCTAAGCCCCTGAATTGAACTTGGCGTTAATTGTATTGTATCATACCACTTTAGTAATTTTCTTGTTCTGCGCATTTAGATGAGTGCAATGTAAAATTGATCACACCAACTTATTTCTGGCTTGGGCCTTGGGGAACAGCGCTTAAATATGTGAACTTTCACAATCAACTTTACATTTCTATTTCCCAGAGGACTCTCAGCCTCTCAGTCTCATTAAAATTCCCTCTAAATAAAAGAAAACTACTCCAACAGTTCTAGGACCATCATATTAACGTTTGTAAAGTTGCCTAACAAAAAGTGTTTGCAGTACTTTAGTGCGCGCTGAAGCTTGAAGCGCTTTGAAGCCTCTTTGTGAAATAATTTGGAGTGTGCGGGTTGTGTGAAATAACAGCTGTTGACATTCTTTTGTGTGTCCTTTTCGGCAATTTTTTCTCTCCGCAAAATATGGATAGCTTCATTCGAAACCGAAATTAATTAAGATACAGTCTGATGCAGCCGAAAGATGTTTGATCTTTCAGGGTATAAAAACAAGAGCCCTTAGAGGGTAGGCGCGCTAAGGAAAAACGTCGTGTAAACTTCCGGATGTTGCTAAATTTTCCTCTGTAAAATATTCAGTTTTAAGGATATTTCTGAATACTTTTCCTTGAATTTTGCAGATACTGTAGATTGAACTGCGAGTGAAATTCTTCGAGAAACTGGGAGAAAAATAAACACAGTTTTCCCCAAAATTCATTTTTTATCAAAGGAAATTTGGCGACGCCTAAAGACTCATACGGTGTTTATCCTTAGCACGGCACTGGTATCCTTAGCACTGTTCAGTATAATAATGCTGCTATAATGATGGATCAGTTTCTTGCATAAATTCGAACATTGCGGTAATTTTTTCTTCTCCTAGACCACTTCAAATGACCTTGACAATTATTTCGATTCGGGTATCAAAGTAACAATGTCATCAAGACCGAAGTATTGTTACCGGAACCAAAATAATTGTTACTATTTCCAAAAGTAGCATTGCAACTAAACGACTTGAAACAAGGGTTGGGCGTGGATCAGTGGCGAGGCGTGAATGATCGATGTTCGATATTTCCCCATTTTACGCTACGCTAAAGAATCGATTATTATGGTGTTCGTTGCAAACACCCTGTTTATGGATCCTTTTCCATAGGTTTAAATGGCAGATCAATCGATATATCGCAAAACACGCAACACCGCTGCCCGGAATCCACTATTAGCGTTGTGAGAGCCACGACTCATTTTTCTCTGTGATAGGTAAAACTTAATTAGTGTTGATTTTAGTTGATTAATGTCCTGAAAATTTTGCGACCCTCCTTGCTGAACTAATGAAACAATGCCAAGATTTAGTTGCAAATAGAGTGCGATATCTTAAGGAGACAGTTCACTTACGGCTGACATGATTCCCGGTTGGATATAAACGGCTCTCGAAGGCGCGGATGTCCCGCNATTTTCTTCCGTTGTCGGATGCTAAGAGGCTCCTTTCTGGGCATCCTCGACTTCAATGGCTTAACTCCCTTGCCATAGACGTACGAAAAGGGAGTCCAGGGGGGCCCGGCTCCCCATAGAATTGAAATTTATCATCTGCCTCCTCAAAAAAAAAATTTATAGATGTTTTGAATGCAACAATTCGAAAGTTTTTGGTGCTGAAAGTAAACAAAAAGGCGTAATTATTCTGCAGAAATTGATGGAAAATCTCCATCATAAGAGCTTCATAATGCGTCCAAATAGATTTAAAATTTCAAAAATTTCCCGGGGGAGGCCCCCCGGCCCCCCCCCCCCCTCCATAGGCTAGGGGCCCGGGTCAGAAAATTGGTACCAGGGCCCGAGATGGGATGTGGCGGGCCTGCTCTGAGACCAATAAAAAATGGTTCGAAGATCCATAATTTCTAACCAAAGTGACTTACCGTCTACAGTATGGCTTTCTCAGCCATACTTTATTGGTCGTGAACCATTAGCATGGCTCCACGAACTATATTTTATAGCTCCATGATCCATAACTCAGCCGGCAAGTCACTCTTCCCGTACTTGTTTTTTGAGTGTATGTTACTTTTTTAAAGGAGGAAAAATTGACATCATTCCTTGAAGTTTTTGCAGAATTTTCTTCGCACGGAAAAGAAAAATCACGGCAGTTTTAAAGAATTTCCGTTGAGTAGTTTTCCGTTTGAAAAATAAAGTATGACAGGATGTCGCAAACTGAGTTATGTGATTGCCGACTTACACCGTCTAAAAGTTGGAAACTTTAGGAGCTTATAACTCCGTTTATACAACATTTTGAGGTTCTAAAAGTGGTTCCCTCGAAAAGTTTCCATCTCGAGGCCTCCCTAAAAATTTAAAATGTGACGAATCAAACATTAAAATTTTCAGTTCTAGTCAAAAATTATATGTCTGACCTCAGTGATTTACTCGATCCACTGTGCGTCGAGCCGAAACTGGATGCCACCTGCTCTCGCACACTCACACGAGAAATTGGGCTTAATCCGAGTGTTAATCCACAAAAGGACTCAGCGGGTCGATGATCGATAATGCCCCATCTTAGCAATGCCATATATCGATCAAGGCGATTCGATATCGATGCAAGAATCGACGAGGTTCAGCCATATCGAGCTTGGATCGGGCGAGCTCCGCCGCCTCGAGGCACCAGGCTCGCGGGACTTGGATTCGACAGTGGAAACGTGTGGATTTCATTTCTTAGTTGGATTAATTTATTCGCGCCGAGGGAGGGAATTCGGGAGGCGTTAAGTGGAGTGAAATGAGACGCGAGTGGATGGCGGGAGAGGGCGGGGGAGGGGGTCAAAGAGTGAGCGATGACAGGAAGTTTAGTCACGGTTACACAGACGGCGCGCGACAGGGTGCATTGGTTTTAAACTTGTTGCTGGGATAGGTACTTCTATACTGCCGTGATAGCGAGGAGAGCAGCAAGTGTCAAATTTTCGAGATCCAGTTCCCCTCAAAATTCGCCTGAACTCTTTCAGATGAAATCACTGAAATTGCTGAAACATCAAAATTAATCTTAATTGTATCAAAAAGAGAAATGTAACCTAAGTGCGCAATAAATGACGTAGTTGTATGCCACGGAGAAAAAAAGTTCGTGCATGGGACCCGAAGTTGAGGTCATATTGATCTCTGAAGTTTTCCGATCACGCATCCGAAAACTTAAGGTTGAACTGCCGAAGTTCAGGTCAGACATCAAAGCACTTCGGTATGTACCGGAGCACTTCAGATGTGTCACCCGAACCCTCCGGTATATATCGAAATACTTCAGTACTTCAGGTGTCTGACCCGCGAACTTCGGCAGCTGGACCTCAAGTTTTTAGAGACGTGATCCGAAAACTTCAGAGACCCATATGACCTCAACTTCGGGCCCCACGCACGAAGTTTCTTTCTCCGCGTGCAAGACAGCAGTAAGTGCGACAATATTCCTCCAGATAGCCAATGAAAACAGTGCTTTCAAGTAAAATACCGCCCTCTTATGCCAATTTCTAACCTGAAAATGTGTTTGTTGCGTGTCCATAACGCAACCACGAAAGCATGATGAACATAACCTATATGACTATCTAGCCTAAAAATAGCCTAGCATGATAATGAATGTCGCCCTTTTTATGTAATTGAAATCGAATCATTCGATTTTTAATCATCCAAACGATTTCAAGGAGTCTTTCGAATGATTAGTGGCAATTTGACGAAGGACGGAGGCCACTTTTAGTGAAATTTATCGGTCAGACGCTTCTGAGTCCGTTTCTCAAAACTTCATTTTGGCACTTACTGCACTCTTCGCTATCCCGGCAGCGCAGTGGCGCACGCGCAATGCATGAAGTATCCATGCAGTCTTGTAGGCGCTAAAAGTGCGCAGCGTGCAGTACGCGCAATGCGTGAAGTATTCACGTAGTCTTGCAGGCGCTAACATTGCCGTGATTGTAATTCATATCAAGTCGGTCGATTCTTAAATATCCAAACGATTTCTAGGAGTCTTTCGGATGATAAGTAGCAATTTATCACAGAACGGAGGTTTCTTTCAGCAAAATGTTTCGGGCAGACGCTTCTGAGCCAGTTTTCTCAAAACTTCATCTTTGCACTCACTGCACTCTTCGCCACCACGGCAGCGCAGTGGCGCACGCGCAATGCGTGAAGTATCCATGCAGTCTTGTAGACACTAACAGTGCGCACCGCACAATGCGTGAAGTATTCACTTAGTCTTGCAGGCGCTAACATTGCCGTGATTGTAACTGATATCAAATTGGTCAATTTTTTAAAAATCCAAACGATTTCTAGGAAACTTTCGGATTATTAGTAGCAATTTATCAAAGAACGGAGGTTTCTTTCAGCAAAATGTTATGGTCAGACGCTTCTGAGACAGTTTTCTCAAAACTTCATCTTTGCACTTACTGCATTCTTCAGTCTCACGGCAGCGCAGTGGCGTACGCGCAATGCGTGAAGTATCCATGCAGTCTCTAACAGTGCGCACCGTGGAGCACGCGCAATGCAAGAAGTATTCACTTAGTCTTGCAGGCGCTAACATTGCCTTGATTGTAATTGATATCAAATCGGTCGGTTTTTAAAAATCCAAACGATTTCTAGGAGTCTTTCGGATGATTAGTAGCAATTTATCAAAGAACGGAGGTTTATTTCAGCAAAATATTTCGGTCAGACGCTTCTGAGCCCGTTTTCTCAAAACTTCATTTTTGGCACTTACTGCATTATTCGTTCTTACGGCAGAATTTGGCGTCGCGTCGCGTCGCGTCGCGCGCTGCCTGTGGAAGCGCGGCGTAAGACGGCGGGGGCGGCGGGAAGCGCGGACGGGTATAACGCGGAAACGAGGCGGCCGATGTATCACCTGTTTAAGATTTTCGAATTACAAGATGACAGGAACTGAAAAATGAGATTTCCATGAGAAATAAATTACTCCTCTCTCCGGGAGGATCGCTAGCGAGAGCCCCCGGAATTGACGGCTAATAAACTCGATGAAACCGAAGCCCCTTCCGCGGGGAGGCGAGTGCATTATTTCTCTCGACGGAAATTTTATTTCCGGCGAAAAGTTTCGGCTTGCTTTTGAAACCCTGGCTCGACTGGGGAAGAGCGAGATGCTTTTTTGTGTTCGATCGCGAGGGAAGATAGTCGTCGCTCAATCGAAGGGAAATTGTCAGCGACTCATAGCCATGGTGGAAGTCAGGAATTTGAGCGAGAGAGGGGTGTGTTACCTACTCCTGTCAGTGAGGCTGATATACCTTGAAAACGATATATTTGAAATTTTAATCAGTGGCAAAGGCGCTTTACTTCTCGGGGAAACTAGAGTCCCTTTACACTGAGAGTTAAGACAATGTGAATCCATTTCTGATTGGTTCCTGTATTTTAGGCCTCCACAGTGTCACAAACGGGAATAAAGATTACATTTTCACCAATTGCAAAGATTATAATCTGGAATGGACAGGGGAATTACGGGTTCGGCAAGGAACAAGTGGAATGGGAGAAGGAACGGAGAAAGGAATTAGAGAATGAGCCCATCAAAGATTACGAAAAACTATCAATTTGTGTAATCTTTATTCCCGTTTGTGACTATGAGGGGGGGGGTGTCTTAACTCTCAGTATAAAGGGACTCTAGGGGAGACTAGAGTCTCTTTATAGAGAGAGTTGAGGCATTGCGGCTCATGGATGTCACAGACGGGATTAAAGATTACACAAATAGGACTTCTTTTGTAATCTTTGATCAACCCATTCCCGAAAAATTCCCATCTCTCAGATGGATCAATTGATGAATGTGCCTAAATGCTTCGATGGCTCGGTAAAACATTTCCTCGTTGGCAGGGAGTCGTGTTTTCCTGTATAAAAAAGCCGCCGCAATTCGCTATCATCAATTTCATAACCGTTCGTGCCGATTAAACAACGGGACCAGAAATATCGCAATAACACCCATTATGCGGTCTGTAATTGTTTACTAACAACCACGGAGCATCGTCATAATGATTGACAAGTAAGCTCTTGAATATCATAATCAGAATATTGATAAAAGATAAAGAAGAGAACTATGAACCGTGAGTTTTTTTTTACTTTTTGCCTTAAAAAAGTTCATTTTATCGACTTGCGACTGATTATGGTCTTCGCGACCGTTCCCTTTTAATGCGTTAATCGCGTTGTTTCATTCTATTACCCATCGCACAAAGTTAAAAGTTGCGGCTAATACAGCACTTGGAAGTTTTCCGTTCATGCAACCGAAGTTTTTGGTCATGGAGACCAAACTTTGGTTCAGGTAACTAAAGGTTTTGATAGTCATATTAAGTACGTCCTTTTCATCAAAAATAATAATCGACTCCTATGACCGAAAACGTCAATTATCTTTCTTAGGGAATTATACTTCGGCCGTATGGACCAAAGTGCGGTACTTAAACATAGTTTTATTTCCGTCTTAATTGGCTTTAAAAATGAAGCATAACTCTTCTCCGGGGTAATTATAGGACATCAAGATGATTCCAATGAAAGCTTTCCTCATTCAGACATTGAGTTGCGTTGCGAATACTGAATAGAAAAAAAGGAAGCTAATAAACCTGGAGAGCTTTAGGTACTAGCTTAATTCTGAATTTACAAATACACTTCCGGCAAGTTGGTCTCCAAATCTCACCCAAAAAGAAATATGCATCGAGGAGTCCCGCAGCTTGAGAGTGACCATTCACGTTTCGTGATCGCAGTCGGGTTTCTGAAGTTGAGTACACGAGAATAATTTACACCTGTCTTTTTTCGCTTTCAAATGAGGGGCTTCGAGGGCAAGGCGCACAAGTGCAGATTTTGCTATTTCGAGATACGTGTTTGAAGTTTCGGAATTACGTGGAACTTCATGGCGGGAGGAAAGTTCAAACTGACTTTTCGATGCTTAAAAATTGGAATTCGGAAGCGAATTTTTCTACAAAATATGTCTATATACGGCGTGTATAGACTAGTTTTACTTGAAATCATTGAAATCTCAATTTTTTTCAAAAACTGCAATCACGCGCCTTGTCCTCCAAACCCCTCAATCAATTTCAACTCCCGCGAAAAAGATTGAAATTAATTTTGTGTTTTCATCATGCAACCATGCTGATCAAACCGATTAAAATATCCTCGTCAAACCATGCAGTCCTTGTTTCACGATGAAAATAAATAACATTTAAACTATGTCACGGCGAGAAGATGCTTCTCGAAGAGAGGAGAAAATGAGCGTTTTTGGTGTTTTCTGCTCCCTCTATTTAGATAAGGAGTAAGAAAAAAACGTAAAACAAACTGGCGAGGAGACACGGAAGGAGGGAAGAAGGGAAGGGAAAAGTGCTAACTAAGTATCCAAACCAACAGCTTCGCAAATAAGCATCACTGAGTCATCCCCCCGGTCCAAACGTCGCATCTCAGTGTTTACGCAACGTGAGCTTTTCGTGTTTGTTCTCTCGTCAAGTGAGCCTGTCGCGGCTAAAGTGCGCAGCTTTTCCTACCCCGAAGTTCTCGCCGATGCGGAGATCGCAGTCTTATACAGTTTTTCGATAGTAATTAGGATAATGCGCAGTGAAGCTGACATTTTTTTCGCAGTTTACGTTACGAAGCAGCAGGTGCGGAAACTTTATTTAAAGTATTAACTGATTAGGTATCACATTTTTTACTCATCGGAACGCAGTCTTATACAGTTTTTCGATAGTAATTAGGATGATGCGCAGTGAAGCTGACATTTTTTTCGCAGTTTACGTTACAAAGCAGCAGGTGCGGAAACTTGATTAAAGTATTAACTGATTAGGTATCACATTTTTTACTCATCGGAACGCAGTCTTATACAGTTTTTCGATAGTTATTAGGATGATGCGCAGTGAAGCTGACGTTTTTTTCGCAGTTTACGTTACGAAGCAGCAGGTGCGGAAACTTGATTAAAGTATTAACTGATTAGGTATCACATTTTTTACTCATCGGAACGCAGTCTTATACAGTTTTTCGATAGTAATTAGGATGATGCGCAGTGAAGCTGACATTTTTTTCGCAGTTTACGTTACGAAGCAGCAGGTGCGGAAACTTTATTTAAGTATTAACTGATTAGGTATCGCATTTTTTACTCATCGGATGCTTATAATAATGAAAAAGTAAATGATTCCAGCATGTTAAATTCGGAAAAACCATCGAATTTCTTGGGGTTGCGGTGTGGCATACACTGGAAAAAAAACACATTGGATCTAGAGTTCAGACTCTTGAAAACGTTGACAAGAAAAAATACTCTTGATTCAATCGGATTTTTGCTTGAATCAAAACGAAATCCGCTTAAATTAAGAGGGTTGGTTCTTGATGTAAAGTAGATTCTGATTGAATCAAGAGTAATTTTTTTGTCGATGTTTTTAAAAGTCTGGACTCTAGATCCAATGTGTTTTTTTCCAGTGTATTACTAAACTTATTTTTAATCAGCAAGGCTAATAAATATAAATGAAGGCACAATTTCAGCTATTCTTTGTTCACAATGCCAAATACGAGTATATATAGTATATATAGGCTTAAAAACTATTTAAGCTTATATACCAGCCTCAGAGTTTTCACGGGTCATGCCTATCCTCAATAGTGCCTTTGTCTCGCAGTTGATTGTATTTTTATGTTGTAGCACTAAGGATGGGCACAGCCCGAAAGATCGCTAGCACTACATGCATTTCTCTTTTTTTCCACCTCATATTATTATTTTAATTTCCTTCATAATTATTCATAAAATACATATATCTATGGCACTATAACTAGCGGTTCAATACGTTATCGTGCAAAGCCTCCTCTGCCGCATCACCCATGTACTGTCGTGCCAAGGAAGAACGCCATCAGAACATTCAAGAGTTGCCAAATTTAGCCAATTGCCTGCAATTTCGTTAATTTGCTAATTTTTCATTTTTGCCAAAACATGTGTTTTTGAAAAAAGTCACACATACTTTTCTTTGAGCTTTTCAGATAGGTTAGATAGAATTGCAAACAAAATCGTCTGAAAAATTTGAAGAAAAATAGTTACAATTTTCACAGTAAATTAGTTTTTAATTTAAGGAAACTTGGCAACATTAGAAGGTTCATACGGCGTTCTTCCTTAGCACAGCATTGTAGGTGTAGATAGCGTACTTAAATGTAGTAAACCCTTGGAGACATAATATACCTCATGAAAATAAAGTTGAAACACATCTAATCTTTTCCTTTTCTTAATCGAGGTTTCAACATTGGTGGATCCAGAAAATTGCCAATTTTATTCTTCCCCATTTAAACCTATGGAAATGTATCGATTATCGGAGGGGTTAGGTGCTCCGACAAGAATCGATTATTTAACATAGGTTTAAAGGGAGGAAATCTGGTGTTGCCAAATACTGAGAAAAAAAAAAAAAAAAAAAAAAAAAAAAAAAAAAAAAAAAAAAAAAAAAAAACACATTGGATCTAGAGTCCAGACTCTTGAAAATATTGACAAGAAAAAGGACTCTTGATTCAATCAGATTTAAGCTTTAATCAAAAGGAAATCCGCTGAAATTAAGAGGCTTGGTTCTTGATTTAAGCTTAAATCTGATTGAATCAAGAGTATTTTTTCTTGTCGATGTTTTCAAGAGTCTGGGCTCTAGATCGAATGTGTTTTTTTTCTAGTGAAGTGCTGGATCCGCCTCTGGTGAATATCCTCCCCTTATAAATACTTAAGGGATGATGACGCACGAAGAAATGTGCGATTAATTATCATGCGCCTACGGAAACTGATAGCGTTGAATAATCGATGGCAGTTTCATTCCGAATGCCGATAATAGCATGCGGCCAGTTTTGACCTCAAAATCATAGGCTATTTACAGAAACACCATATTGACAGGGATTAAAAATTCACGAGGGGATTACGACACGGACACGCGATATAATCGAGGGAAGGCTTATTCGCCGTTCCCAGATAGATTAATCGGCTCGGAAAAAATGTTTTTCTCCCAGACGCTGACATCGCTCACTGTCAGGTTGCACTGAACTTTAGTCCAGACTGCATCGGTGGTAGTTGAGCAAAGTGCAGCGTATGACTATGGATCAAATGTTATCGACCCAGCGATTGGAGATCAACAGTTCAATGTTTACATTGTTGAATTCATTTTTATAGGTTTCCCAGCTCTTTTCATCTTTCGATAGTCAGAATAACCCAAGTCTAACAGAAATCTCTGTCTACCGAATCCANGGGGGGGGGGGGGGGGGGGGGGGGGGGGGGGGGGGGAGCGATGGAGCGCACGCCCGTAAAAAAGGAGAAGGAAAGACGGTTTTATTTGGTAGTTATTCATGACGAAAATGACTTAAACTGCAAGTGACATACTTTCAAATTTCGAAAATTTTCTAGAGGTGCTCCTCAGACACACCTTACGCCCCTAGAAGTGTCTGGATCCGCCTGTGTTCGAATCGGAAGACGAAGTGGAAATGGAGAAAAAGGGGTAGTAGCATTTGTGAAATAAGAAGAGAGTTAAAAAGAGAGGCAGGAGAAAAAGACCAAGCAAAAAACTAAGAATTGAATCTTCTTTCCTTTTTTCTTCTTCCGCTTCCCGCTTTCTCAGCTTCCTGTTCCTTCTCCTTTTACTTTTCTTCTTCTACTTGTTTTTCCCTTTTTCTTCCTCTCCTTCTTGATACAGACCTGCTATCAAATGTAATCATGCAGTATCCAACATACAGGCATTTCATCCTTCATATTTTTATCTTTTTTTCCTTCTTCTTAAAATATCAATATCGTCTACAATTAGAGTGATGATTCATGAACGAGATTAAAAGTCTTTCGCAATAGGCGCCACTAAAAGAGAAACACTCGACCGTAAATGAATAACAACGATAAATATAATTGAATTGATAATTATTATGAGAACATGCCACCTGATTCTTACTACTGCTCAGATTGTGTACGTCATTCATTCATGTGTTCGACAGTTTGAAGCAAGCATCTTCATTTCATTTCTCATCGATATGAGAAGGCACGAGGCAAAAAGTTTTTTCTTAACCTAAAAAGACAATATTTAAGTATAATCACTAGATTTCTGGCAGTGTAGAGGAAAGTTTACAGGATTACAGCACCGCAAGGAACTGAACGTCCTTTTTATGGGTACGTTGACTTTTTTCGTATTGAAGGCTTTGATTGATTTGACGATGATATCAACAGCGCGGATTTAAGAATGTTGATCGATTTAAACTAAGTATTCACACTCGATTAATCTTCGATTCTTTTTCGGATTTGACGGTATTTGTGGGCATTCAAAAAAACAGCTTAGCAATTTCTTTAAACAACATAAATGAATAAAAAACATCAATTATCATGCCTACGCTTTCCGTGCGGAATGCGCAGCTGTTCGGTTAGGATAGCGCATTAAATTTGCGGGTCCGGCCTGAGCGCATTTTCGGTTGGAGCCTGGGCCTTGGGGGCATCGCGATTTTTCGCTCTGTTTCCACAACGCATGCTCGTTCATGCTAACATGATTGATCGCCGATTTCTGCCCTACTGCCGCTCTTCAGTGTTGCCAAATGTCATCGGAATAATTCAAAACTTCACATCGTGACATCTGTGAGATATATATATTCTTATAATCATAAGAATATTAAAAATAAATGATTGCCTCGGGCAGGTTGTGCAGGAGGGACTGAGGAGGGATGAGGCTCTAACTGAAAGCACAGGATTATCACTCGTGTAGTATTTGGAGTAGAAGGGGAAAAAATTGTAAATGCGAGGCTTATTGGAGGACGAGGCGCATAAGTGCAATTTTGAAATATCGAGACAGGTACAGTTGCTTTCAAGTAAAACTAATCTGAATGCATATTTTGTGAAAGGCTCCCTGCCAAATTCCAATTTTTAAGTTTTAAGAAGTCAGTTAGAACTTTCTTTCCGCCGTAAAGATCCATTTACTTTCGAAACTTCTAACACGTATTTTTGGAAATAGCACAAATTGCACTTATGCGCCTTGTCCTCCAAGCAGTCCAAGCCCCTTAAATGTGGTTTTCTTTAATATCTAGTCTACGTGAAGATCTTGGGAGTTTACTTTTATTGGCTGATTACTTAGCTTTTAGGAAATAGTAGATTCAAATCGTGAAGAAAGAAATGAGATTCAATCATTTTGTTAGGAATTAGTTCCGAAAGAACTACGTGCGATAGTGCACGATTAAGATTGCCGTGCTGCAGAATGCATATTTTTTCTTGAATCTTTAAAGTACGTAAAATTACTTAAAAGTCTTTACTTAAAAGTAAATCGTATTTCATGAGGAATTCGGCAACATCTAAATAGGCATACGGTCTTTTTCTTTGGAACGGCATTGTAAGAGGAACTGTAACTCTTCCTGAGGATGAAATTTCATATCCGATGAAGGAATTAGCCTCAAGCACATCCATCTATCTGGAACCTACGATCTGGTTGCACTGCGCCTTCGACGAGTGACGGATATGTCCTCGGGCAACTATTTTAACTCCCCGGAAATCAAATTGCATATCCTATGAAATGAAGGAGTTTCAGAACCGCAACTTGCCATGCCACTCTTATGGAAGGTTCCGCTCTGCGCCGCGCCGATCTTTGCTGACGGGAGTCGACTTCGACCTCGGGCAACAATCCTAACTCCCCGGAGATCAAATTGCATATCCCATTAAATGAAGAAGCTTCAGAGAAAGCGATGATACGCAACTTTCCAATCTTATGGAAGGTGCTCATCCACCGGACGGATGTCGAGTTCGAACCCGGGCAACTATTTTAACTCTCCGGAGATCAAATTGCATATCCGATGAAATGAAGGAATTTCCATCGAGTCCGGTGCTCCGTGCGATGCAAGTTCACCGGAATGCCGCGCTGAAGATGCTGTACGCAGTATGTAACGTTCGAATGTTGCCAAAATTCCTCAGATATAAATTCGCTTCAGAGAAGAGTTGCGAATATTTTTCGATGCAATTTTTAGGAATGCACAGTGTATTCCGATATATAGGCAATGCATTAACGGTTTTTATCGGGTGAAAATTGTAAAAGTTGCATTAGTGTAATATTATGCAGGTCAAAACAATCAAATTTTACCGAGTGCGACTGAAAGGTGAACTGACAACGTGGAAATCATAAACTGACGATTAAATGAGACAAGTTCCGTTAAAGTCATCTTACTCAAATAACAGTGGCGAGGCGTGAATGATCGATTATCGATATTTCTCCACTTCAATCCGTGGTAAAGAATCGATTACTGAGGTGTTCGTTGTGAACACCCTTTTTCGATTCTTTTCCGTAGGTTTAAATGACAGATCAATCGATACGTCGCAAAGCACGCTACGCCACTGCTAAGTAAATAATATCAACATAACTTTCATTTAAAGTCGAATTAATAAATAGCACCTATAATTTATTACCCATAATCTGGGTCTCGCGTCGAAAGTTAAGTGCATGACAAGTGTCATTATGGCGAAAGAGCTCGTAATCCTCACAGAAATACTGACAGGCATCCCATGAAATTGCATATTTTGGTAGGGATATTATAATTTAAGCCGGCAGTCCTTTTTCCTCTTATGATCTTAAAATTCCGCGGAAACAGTTTTTGTCTTTCCTCCAGCGAGTCTCGTTTAAGCATAATGATTTTACCGAGCCTTGCGTCTTTAATGCACTAATCCTCGGCAAAAATTGGCATTGTTACACAGTGACGAGGTGTGAATTATCGATTATCGATATTTTTCCATTTGCAGCCATGGTAAAGAATTGATTATTGAAGTGTCCGTTGCGATCACCCTGTTTATCGATCCTTTTCCATAGGTTTAAATAGCAGATCAATCGATGTATCGCAAAACACGCCACGCCACTGTTGTCTTGGGCCGAGTAACATGATTTGGATTGATGAATATTCAATGTGCATTTGTTTGGTTTCATCAAGATATCGTCAAAAACTCCCTTAAGATTCGACGATATGATTATTTATCAAACATATGATCGAAGAAGCAAATACCTGAATTTTGAACGGAGCGAACCGCGCTGCAGGGCACTCGGCCAAATGGATCGCATTTTGCAATTAGGAACTCCAATTTCTGGCTGATCTTAAAAACAGCATGCGTGCCATTGGTTTCCCTATACAGATATGTGCTTTTTATGGATGAGCTATATTTTGGTTCCTTATTGCAAAATGCAGTCAAAATATGCTGAATTCTATGCAACCTCACCGTTGCACTGTGTTGCATACCCGCACTTTTTATCGAATTTCTTTTTAATTTATAGGAAAAATGTGTTAGTTTTCTGGCGAACCTCATCTCATGTTGCTTTCTTTTCTTTTCTGTTTTCAGAGACCTGGATTGTGATTCTTGATTTTTATTTCCAAGTGTTGTCATGACAACAGTGGAAGGTAAGAATAATTTTACTCTTATTGCCTGAATATTAATGACTGAATTCATGATAAAATATTTAATTCCGGTTGGTTTTAGACTATGATCTTTTGAAGCAGAAACTCGCCATTATACCGATTAACTCGATGAATGACGATTAAGATTCAACACCGTATATAAAAAAAAATCCCACTTTTTCATTTCCTCATAAGGAATATCACGTCCACTTTTACATTATTTCTTATGCAGCTTTCTAGAGCACGCCTCATATTACCCACACTCGTCTCTAGTTCTCTTTAGCAGAACTATGTCCAAATGCGTGTTTCGTGACTGAAACCATCACTATGTAGATAGACAGTTCTGGATGAGCCATTCGGTGAGCCAGAAGCGGATCCAGAAATTTGGCAACACTGGGTTTCCTCCATTTAAACCTATGTTAAATAATCGATTCTGGTCGGAGAACCTGGCCCCTGCAAGAATTGATACATTTCCATAGGTTTAAATTGAGAAAAACAATGTTGCCAATTTACTAGATCCACCAATGGTTAGCTTTCGAGAGGGTTGAAGTCGCGAGAGGATTTTACCAAGGGTGGAGAGGGTAGAGGCTCATTGTGTTTTCATGATGGTACTTAGAAATTTGCGGCCAGGCCTGGTCCAAGGGCCGCAACCGAAGTGGAGTAACTGATAAGATAAAAGCCTGTCGACCTATGCATTGTGCAGTGAGTCTAGTGTGGTCTGCCTACCAGGCCAGGCGCACTTTCCCTCGCCCGCGGTTGCGGTGAAGCAGCTCTCCAATTTTGCATTCTACTCGACATCCCTTCGCTCGCATGTACGTCTCAGGTGAATACCGGATGATCCCTCTCCACTCCGCGGTGTCGCCGGATTTTCGGTGAAATTGACTCATTTTAAAATTTCCCCGATGAAAAACTTCTCACGACCATACTCCAATCGGCAGCACAGCTTGACGTTGCTACCATTGCTCTTGCTATTGCGACGAAATATTGCAAATTCATCTCCGGAATGAATTGTGACCTGAGATACGGAATTAAATTTGATAGCATCTCTTTTTCCCAAGGGAGATTCATGAAATTCCAAAGAATTTTCAAGGGCTGAGTATAGAGCGCACAATTTGACAGAGATTTTTGGGGTTCAAGTCATGAGTCATGGTAAATTTTTTTTTCCTACAAAATTTCAGCACTGGGTTTTTCCTATCTTTATGTGTTTCAAAGCCTTTTGATTTCCTTATGAACGTATTCAAGTTTAATACAATAATAAAATAATGAAAGTAGTTCAAGTATTGGACGAAGAAAAAGAACTTGTGACGTTTTAAACAGTCATAAGTGATTTCTGATAAAAACGATTCCTAGAAATAGTGATCATGCGTTTTATATCACTTCCCAAAATCCTACTCCAGGCGTTCATTGAGGAAAATCCAGAGGTTTATTTCCGTATTATGAACGTTTGGAATTTAAGATCCCCATATCTGATTAGATTTTGAACGAAGAATTAACGTATAACTGTAGGTCTCTACAAATGGCTAATGTATCAATTTTGTTTTCCTCCTATTTTCAAAAGCATAACCTTATTTTTGAGGCGCATAAATTAGCTGTCATTTTCGCTCAAATATTTTGTGTCACTTCTCAGTCCTAACAGGGAATGTTTTTCCTCGTAAAAATATTTGCTTGAAGATCAATCGAAGTCCAGTGTTTGAAACTCACAGGCGCCAACGCGCCAAATGCGCCTTAAAAATCAGTCATGGCGCCTAAAAAATGAAGGCTCTGCGTCAACGTGGCTCTTAAAAATTGCCCCCTGAAAATCTCGATTTTCACAGGAATGGCACATAAAAAAAGAAAAAAGAAATCTACTTGAATTGAAAAAAAAACTCAATTTTCCGCACTACAAGTGAAAGTTTGATTTTTCCATTCTTCACGATTTCATTCATAGTGCTTTTGTCTTCTCCGATGAGTTACAGCTACTCACTAGTTCTATCACGAAAACATCTTGCGTCTAACTTTATACTAAATGCGCCGTAATATGTAGGCAGAAAGTCAATTTGGCCCCTAAAAAATCTTCAATGGCGCCTAAAAATCGGGCTTGATGCGCCACATGGCTCCTTAAATTCAAAGGTGAGTTTCGAACACTGATCGAAGAATTACAACAGACATACATCAATTATAATGTATCATTTTATTTACTCAAACTGAGAAGACAGGATGTATTTTCTCCTCTTTTTTAATTTACTGAGGGGGAAATTCAATCGTCAGGAGACTCTAGCTATGGAGGAAATAGGATAGCGTCATCGGAGTTCAAATAGACTGACCTCACGTATTTCAAAGATCATCTGACGCAATAGCACGGCTGCCACGTGCATGAACATACAAACATTTTTCAATCAATCATATAGAGAGCCTTAAATAAAACAACGTAAAAATCATCAAATCAGGAAAGACGAGACTGTGTGCGAACTGAAACTTATCAAATTCTCCATTTTACTTCACTCGTTTTCTATTGTGAGTTTGCTGTGTTACATTTAAATCCTAAAATTCCGAGTGAATTCAGTGCGGTTTCAGGTAAAATATGATTGTTGTCAGTGGTAAAGTGCAAATAAAAGTTCGGTAAGGAGGCGTTACATTCGTTACATGTGTTATCTACAAAATTAAAACTTAATATTACTCTTTTAATATAAATTTGCTTTGGATTTTTACCGGCAAACAGAAGAAAAGTCGTTGGAATTTTCAGTTTGAGATACCTCACGTTTTCCTTTTCAAGATAAAATTTGTGAGCGGAAATTTTGCAACGTCGAAAAATGGTTACGTTTTTTCGTCTGAGAACCGATGCATTTTGAGACCGCAAGAAGTGCCGGTAAATGGACTTTATCTCCGACAAATGAGTAATTTGTCCACATTATCTTCCCACAAAACCCATGCTGTCTCGTTCTTTGAAGCCTGCTCTGCTGTTTTCCATCTTTCAAATTTGTTTGTCTGCCGTTAAGTAGGTCTTGCTCACCAAGAAATATCTGATTAAGTCCTTTGATTCATGGTTAAAAGTAAAATTCGTCATGTTTTCATCATTCGAATGATTCTTAACATTATTAGGAAGATTATCGACAAATTTATGGAAAATTGAGAATATCCTCAGTACAAGTTTCTGCTCCAACACTCCTGGGTCCTGTTTCTCAGAAGTTCTTCCAAGAGTTACTGTTCTCTTTTCGGTGATATGGTTCAGATATCCCAAGCGGCAAAATCGCACATCTGGTGCTTGTTAGTTGCGGCTGGTGTGCATCGTACCATACGTCTTATACGTGACGCACCAGCACTGCCGTGCTAAGGAAAAATGCCGTATGAGCCTCCAGGCGTTGCCAAGTTTCCTTCGATAAAAACCGAATTTACCGGGGAAATTTTGAATATTTTTCCCCAAAAATTTCAGACAATTTTGTACGCAATTTAATCTAAAATATCTGAAAATTCCCTGGTAAAAATTGGCAGTAGAATCTCTGTTCCAAAATACCATAGACCTACAGCCGGCTGTGAGATTTTCAATAGCTTCTATAGCCGGCTACACAATTTCTTATAGCCTTTTATAGCTGATGGCGATTAAGCAACAGCCAGGCGATAAAGTGTATGCTAAACGTTACTAATTACGGATGCTAGGACTTAGTGAGTTTTTGGACTAACGCTCTCTTTTTGGGCCGTAGTATCTTGATTTATTTTGCGAGGAAAGCTCCGTATTTTTGATGGATGCCTGTCATTCCTAATATATTAGGGCGCCTTCAGTTTCGTATGATACTGTGCAATACTTCTGGTGTGAAATAGTTACTTCAAGCACTGTGACACGCTGCGGCGCGGCAGGCGGGCAGCCAGCGAGAAACGCGCATTGGCGCCTACAAACCTAAGGGGATACTTCACGCGTTGCGTAATGCGTGAAGTCTGAAGTATCCCTGTTAGGTTTGTAGGCGCCAGTGCGTCGCCGCTCCGCTTTGTGTTAGGCTATAATATTTAATCTGGCGGAGTCAGCGTTATTCAACTCATGATTTTGAAATGTTTGCACATCCTGGATGGATTATTCTCATTTTAATTGATGAAAACAAATAAATATTAAAGGAAAATATAATATGTGTAAGGTGGTTCCGTATCAAACTTAATGATTTCCAAAGCACACGAATTTCTACACAATTTCTTACAGCCTTTTATAATCGATGACGAAAAAGCAACAGCCAGGCGATAAAGTGTAAAGCCCGGCGATAGGAACTATAGCCCGGCTGCATAATTTTTTATCGCTTCGTAAAGCCCGGCCGTATGATTTTCTCCGCATTCTACAGCCAGCTGTGTGATTTTCTGTAGACTTCTTTAGCCGGCTATAAGAATTCCTATGGTATTTTGAAACGCAGCTCTTATCGCCAATTTTTACCAGGGTTTCCAAGAAAAATGTGCATGAATGTCGTCAAAATACATGTTTAATACGGGAAATTTGGCAACTCTCGAATGTTCATAAGGCGTTCTTCCTTAGCACAGCAGAGCACCACACAGTATTTGGCAATTCACTCCCAGCTGACGCTTTCATTCTTTTGTCGCTTCCTTTCCATTTCAAATCCTCCCATGATTTAGAGTACTTTTCGTTTTCGAGCGTCTCTGTGCTTTCATTGAGAACATTGAAATTCCTCCGTCAAGTTCAACTCGACGTCGCTGAGAAATCTAATCCGCGATATTCTACATCAGCACTTCAGCCTTTTTTGCGATAAATCATACCATTTGCAACATTTCGCCACCTTCCGGGCAAAGGATATCAAGTGCTATACGACGCCTCAAAATTTTCGGCGCTCTTTTTTTTATAGAGAAATTTTTGGTTGAATTTGTTTGAAAATTTCACTGAATTTTATCGGCAGCACAGAGCAGATTCAGTAAAATATTTGTACAGCCTCGTTGAGCAATTTCTCTGTAAAAAAAAATAAATAGGCAGCGGAAATTTTGAAATGTCGCATAGCGCTTCTGATACTTTGGCCGGAAGGCGACGACGATTTGAT